GGCGCGGGCGCGGGCGCAGCGACGTCGTGAATCGCGGGTTGCGCCGGCCGTGAGTGTGCGCTTTTCCCGGGCCCGGCTGTGTCGCTCCGCCGGCATGAGTTACGACCGCGCCATCACCGTCTTCTCGCCCGACGGCCACCTCTTCCAAGTGGAGTACGCGCAGGAGGCCGTGAAGAAGGGCTCGACTGCGGTGAGCGGCTGGCCGGGGGCTGGGGTCCGGGCGGCGCTGCTGGGGCGCGGGAGGCCAAGGGAGGCCCGTCCTCGGGGAGCGGAGAGCCCGGGCGTGGAGAGGCCCGCGCAGCCGGGGGAAGGGCAGGGGGCCCGGGCGGCTGGGTGCGGCCCAGGCGCCTCGTGCCCACCGGCCTCCCCAGTTCGGGGCCCGGGGTTAGTACAGTGGCGTTGGGCGCACACGGAAGCCGGGACGAGCGCGCTGCTGCGGGAGAGGGGCGCCTCGAGCCGTGGGCGTGGGGACGCGAGGGCAGGCCGGGCGGAACTGTCGCTGGGTGGCCGGACTTCCGCTTGCCGGCGAGCCAGGGTGTGTGTTTGTTGGCTGCTCGGCAGGCGCGCTGCTGACCCCCGGACTCGGTGCCAGTCGCCGGCCTCCTGCTCCTTCTCGGAGTCCCGAGCCCGTGCACGCGCCTGGTGGCGACGGCCATGTTGCTGGGTCGCGACTGCCGCGGGCCCGGGAGAGCGGGGGCCGGGGCCGGGCCGCTGGGTGCGCCGCAGGCGGCGGAGGCGCGGGATTCGGAGCGACCGGGCTGGCCCCTTCCCCACTCCGAAACGTTCTTTACGGGAGCGAGTGACTTAGGCGACCCGCGTCTGGACAGCGCCTAGTTCGGGCACTTGCCCCACTGGGAAGGCAGTTGTCCTCGACGTCCAGGTCGGCTTGGAGAACAAAGGGCGCCGGCAGCCTGGCGCTGCTGACAGGGCCCCCCCGGGCTGACTGCGCTGGGTGCTCCCCCGCCGCGGCGGCGCGCCCGACCCACTGGCCTTACTGAGACCGCCGTCTGAAATTTAAATACATGATGTCTTCAAGACACTTGTCAGCTTGCTTATTGCAAACAGTGTGATAGTGTTCTTTAACCTGGCACTTCAGAGGTTTGAGTGGACAGAGAGAAAACACGATTCTGTGAATTTTGAAGTCTTCTAATTTCTTGCATGTTTTGAAATTAAGGCCTCAAATCCATCTTGTGACCTACCTCAGCTTAGAGACTGCTGGAGGAGTCAGCTGCCACCCCCTGCTCCCCCATACTCTCTTGGGCCAACTACAATTGCTGCTTTTGCTTAACGCAGCTAGTGTCTCCGGCCTGGCCTTCTTTCCCTTGGGAACTTTGAAGACGAGAGTTAGTTCAGAGTTCCTTGAAATCTGAAATGCTGCCAGCCAGTGCTTCTCTGCACCCCAGGGGGCGTCTGGCAGCACGTGGAGACTTCTAGAGGTGGAGCCAGAATGCCGCCAGTCCTCCCGCGGTGCTCATTGCTCTGGGACAGCCCTCAGATCAAAGAGCTGGCCAGCCCCGATGCCCCTGTGCTGAGGCTGAGAAGCCCTGCCCTAAACTAAGGGGATGCTGCTGTGCTCCGTGGTGGCCTCATTTGTGTCTGCTGCTGCCTCGCTTGGGGGGTTAAGTGGCAGTCGGTGACTTTTCCCATGTTTTAGTGCGTCCTTCTCTGCAGGATCAGCCATAAGCAGAGAGCTCTTGGCCTCCCAGTAACAGTAATACCTTGTCCACCTGATGCCGCGTCGGGCCCTCCCCCACAGCTGTACACACTGGTTTCAAAACCGCAGGAGAGAGTGGGGTGGGTTTTGGTATAATTTCACGGCCACAGCAACACTGCTTTAAGAATATCCAATTTCAGTGTTAGGGACTCCGGTGTAAAGGCCCTTCCTTGGACTCTGGTTCACTGGGTCAAAGGGATACATAGGCACACTGACTCTGCAGTAGTTAGTTCTTTTAATTGACTCCTAGTTGATTAGCAGTGTTGTGTTTCCAGGGTATAGCACAGTGATTCAGTTATACACGTCTGTGTATTTCTTTCTCATCACAGGTTGTTATAAGCAGTAGTTACTTCTCAGTTGTGTTGTAACTGAACCTGCGTATCGGTGTTGTAGGTTAAGGCACGGGACTAGGCAGTTGCATCACGATCCCTAGGGTGTTCCCAGGACCATGCTGACATCTGCTACACCCACTCCTCGTGCTCTGTGCCTGGTGGCAGAACCCCATGTCACTTCCTGAAGTGCCGTGTTGGTATTCATTGAAGGTTGGTGTTCGAGGAAAAGACATTGTTGTTCTTGGTGTGGAGAAGAAGTCAGTGGCCAAACTTCAGGATGAGAGAACCGTGCGGAAGATCTGTGCTCTGGATGACAATGTCTGCATGGCGTTCGCGGGTGAGTCTGCAGCCAGCGCTCAGGTGCTCTGGAGGCTAACCTGGTGGAAAGGCTGTTGGGGGACATGTAAACTGAGTGAACTGAAATCACTTAAAAGAAATGAATTTGCCTTTAAAAGAAAAGGGTTGGCCACAGATTCTTGGGGGGGGGTCCCTCCTCCCCAGGTGGCTGCAGCACAGGGGCTAAGTCAACAAACACCCCCAGGACGGAGTCTGTGCCGTCGCCTCGTGGCGGTCAGTCGGGAGGAAGGGTGGGCTTCCATGGCCGACTGTGCCGGGAGGCAGAGCGTGACAGCAGTGTGTTTGCACACCACGTGGCTTCACTCGGTTCACGCCTCAGCAGGGAGACCCTGGTTCATCTGAACTAGAGGTTGACTTACCTTGTGGGAGGATGAGTGTGTTTACAGTCTGACCCACATGGCGCCTGGTACACCCGACTTTCTCAGAGAGGCTTGTGGAGGCTGGTGGTTCCACTGCAGGTCACTGAGAATGACCCCAGTGCCGGGTCTTGGAGGACCGGCTTTAGCATCTTTGCTGGCTTCCATGGCTGACCGGCTGGTGGGGCTCAGGCGGGGTTCTCTGTGGTTATTGCAGGCCTCACCGCTGACGCAAGAATAGTCATCAACAGGGCCCGGGTGGAATGCCAGAGCCACCGGCTGACAGTGGAGGACCCAGTCACCGTGGAGTACATCACCCGCTATATCGCCAGTCTGAAGCAGGTGGGTGCCCGCCTGCCGGGGCTCGGCCCCGTTGGGGAGCCCCCTGCCGCGGTACCTCACCTGGGCATTCGCGCCTGTCGCTACAGGGAAACCAGAAAAGTGCACTGGCTCCACACACGCAGTCCTGGTCTTGAGTTCTGCCATCTCTTACCCTTTTCAGTGGCATCTGTAGTGGCACAGGGCAGTCCAAGTTCAGATTTCTAGAGGGAAATGATACGATGATATGACCAGTCACCGAGCAGCTGGGAGGGGACAGAAAAACCCCGCTCTGGCGAAATCCTAGTCATCGTGAGCCAGCGTGTGGCCAGAATGTACCTGCTGTCAGGATTCCTCCCGGTGGCCCTGCTGAGCGCGGCGGCGCGGCTCTGGCCCAAGAGTGGAAGCACCGCCGCACGGCGGGGACGCTGGGAGCCCCTGGCTGGCCTCCTTTATGACCTGAATCACAGATGACCAGAATGTGGGCTTAATCTCGTCCCTTTGCTAAAGCACATTGTTTGGAACGTTGTGTGTTTTGTTCACGGTGGGTTCTGGGGGGCCTTTGTGCCGAGACAGCGGTGTCACGGTGTCTTTTTCCCCTAGCGCTACACACAGAGCAACGGGCGCAGGCCGTTTGGCATCTCCGCCCTCATTGTGGGTTTCGACTTTGACGGCACCCCCAGACTCTATCAGACTGACCCCTCAGGCACGTACCATGCCTGGAAGGTGAGTCCCTGACGAAACGGAGGGGCTTTGTGCTGCCGGGGGCTGGCCTGGTCCTATGATAGCACGTGCACCCGTGAGCTGTGTATCCATGACCTGGGCTTTACGGGAGCTGGGGAGTCATTAGGCGTCACTGTTTGGGGAAAAGGACAGTGAGCTGTAAGGATACGCAGCATAGTCAAGTCGCCCGTGTCTCTCTCAGTAGACACTCCCCTTCTTAGTAGGAATCGGCACTAACTCCAGAAGCCCTTTCCACAAGGAAGCCACGGGGCAGGGGTGCCAGCCGCACGGAGGTGACCGCTGCCCTGCGCTGTGTAACTAACACACACCTCTGCCTCAGGCCAATGCCATAGGCCGCGGGGCCAAGTCAGTGCGAGAGTTTCTAGAGAAGAATTACACCGACGAAGCGATTGAAACTGATGATCTGACCATCAAGCTGGTTATCAAGGCCCTCCTGGAAGTAAGTTTGAAATCTGGGAACGATACTGAGGACACCCATGGCGTTGTGGCCATACTTGGGCTGGGTGGAACCCACAGAATGGGGCACCTGATGTGGGCAGCCAGGAGGCGGCAAGGGCACCAGCGATGCCACCAGTCCCAGCTCCTGTGCTCCGTGGCCCCTTTACATGGCTGGGTCGGTCACGGCACCGAGAGGCTAGGTTGCTTCCCCGGGAGCAGAGCTCCCAGCCATCACTCAGCCTCCGGGCTCAAGCTGCTGATGAGGCCCAGGAATCAGAAGAACTGGGGGTAATGGATGTGAGCCGGGAGGTCTGGGACTCTGTCGAGACACTGGAGGTGCTGGCAAGTGAAGCCAAAGAGGCATAGGGGAGTGGTGGGAAGGCTGGGCTGGGGTCCAGACGCTGGGGCTCAGCAGTGGGAGAGGCTGCGTGGAGAGGTGAGGGCCGTGAGCACGTCTGCTGTGCAGGAGGGACCGGGGACCCACCCAAGTCCAACTGCCCGGAGACGGGGGGGTGCAGGTATCCCAGAGGACTTTGCACCTCAACACGCAGTTGGGACACGAGCTTTGGGTGCTGAGACCTCAGTGTCCCACCCCTCCCCTCGCGTAGCAGTGCTGGATTCGGGTTCACGTGACACCGTTTGAGGGGCTTGTCGGCAGGCTTCCGTCTTGAGGTAGGAGAGGTATCTGAAGCTGTTCTCTCTCCAAGGTGGTACAGTCGGGTGGCAAAAACATTGAACTTGCTGTCATGAGGCGAGACCAGCCCCTCAAGGTAATCACCAAGTGGGTTTGCCATCTTCCCCCGTGGGCACCCCCAGTGCACTTTTAGGACCATTCTGCTGGGGCTTTAGAGTCGGAAGAAGTCCATTCCAAGGAGCCCCACGCGCTGAGTTAGAGGAAAAGCATTCCGGTATTGCTCCCTGGACAGCACTGAGCAGCACAGCTGAGCACGCTTGCTCCTGCTTGCTCCTGCTTTTCCGTTGTCACCCACATGGCTGCTCCGGTTTGGTACCCTACCAGGCGCACGCAGCCTGGGGTCCTGAAGCAGCAGCTGTGAGGGGCAGTCTGGGGCACCTTGTGTGGCTTGCGGGAGGCTTAACCCTACAGTGTTTCTTTGATAGATTTTAAATCCTGAAGAAATTGAGAAGTATGTGGCTGAGATTGAGAAAGAAAAGGAGGAAAACGAAAAGAAGAAACAGAAGAAAGCGTCATGATGAGTGAAATCTTGCTTGTGGCGATTTTTAAATTCAAATCATGGATGATTCTCAGAATGATTCGTAGGCGTTTCCATTCCATTATCTGTATTGTCCCCATGTCCTACAATAAACCTCCATCTTTTTTAATCTTTCAGAGTATGTATCGTTTGGGTGTACTGATAGCTCTTCAGGAAACGTGCTCACTGAGTCTCTCGAGTGTTCCTTGTGGCTTCTCAGTGCCAGACTGACACAAGGTGGTGGCTGAAATGGGCTCCTCCCGCGGGGTTTGTGGGGGCTTTACTGGGTCCACGCTGCTGGAGACAGGAGCCGCGGGTGCAGAACTCCGGGTTTCTCTCCTTCAGGGGCCCTAGACACAGAATGACTGCCTGCCTCCTGAGGCCTTCATAGTCCTTTAAGAATGTAATGTCAGGGACACAAAACACCAGCACAGAAAGCAGCACTCAGCTGAACTTACCACCTTGTGTTGCTGAGCAGGAGCTGTGAAGCTAGTCTTGAATTTCTGGTTTCAGTAGATCAAGCCAACATTCCTTTTACCTCCTACCTTAAGACTTCTGGTGCTGGCTCTTTCCTGCCCTCTCACCTTTTAGCCAGAAAGACGGCCCTTGTTTTAGCTTCCAGTCCAGCAGCAGGGTGATGGTTCTAAGTTTTACCTTCATAGAAAAATCCTAACCACCTCCTTTGGCTGCACAGCTCTGCTGCTTCTCATGAGGCCCTGCCCCCAGTGCTGGTGCCCTGGGAGAACACAGAGGGCTCCTTGGGTCCTTGGGCTGGTCTCCTGGGACTCCAGGGCGGGACTCCCAGGGGCGCTGCTCTCAGCCACCTACGGCTTCTCTTGCTCTGCATCCTCATTTAATGGCATACGTACCTCTGGCTTCCACAGTGGAGTAGAGGCCCAGATACATTTTAAATTCAGCCTAAAATGTGCAGTTGTCAAAATGTCAGTTTAAATTTTTAATAGCAAGGTTAATCATAGGTGGTAAAGTGACAACTATATTTAGAATCTCTAGGAGAGAAATACCTGTTTCTCTGAAGTGCTGAGTCACCTCCGAGTTCAGAGTTGGCGCCGAGGCTGTGGCATCTCGCAGGTAAACTGCGTGGCTTTCATTTGCCAAAAAATGGAAGGTTGCCAAGAGTTTGTTCAAATTCCGAAACTACCCAGTGTTCAGAGTCTGTTAGGGAGTAACTGCCTGCCCAGGAAGGGGAGTCTGCCAGGACACGAGGCTGAGCCCAGACGCCACAGTCGGCCTGCTGCCTGGTCCTGCTGCGGCCTGACTGCATCACTGATGACCAGGCAGGCCTTAGGCCTGAGAGCTTTTTTAAAAGTCACCCAGAGACCCGTTACAATGAAATGGGATGCTTCCAGTCTTCGCTTTTCTTTGTGGCCCAGGGTCCATCCAGCCCTGAAGCAGTGTCAGCCCTGAAGCGGTGTCAGGAACACAAGCCCTGGGGGGGTGGGAGCTACGGTGAGGGCAGCAGAGGGCCCCTCTGAAGCCGGCTTATCTGTGAGCAGCACTTTGTAAACTAGTTTGTGTCCAAAGTGCGTGGAAAGCAGCCCCCTCACCCCAGGGGAGCAGCCTACACAGCAGACTCGGGTCTGTCTCAAGGGTGCCAGGTGTCCCCCAAATCCTGCCAGCTGAACAGCACCCACCCTGGGACAGGCATGTCAGACGTGGTGTAATTCGGGCAACAGAGTCAACAAGACTACTTACTTTCAAAGCAAAACAAGTTTTAAAGGTTTGCATGTTTATTTGTAATTACAAGTTTACATTACTCCAACACAGCAGTCCCACTGCCATGTTCTAGTTCTTAGCCATTAAGTCCTACAAAAATAAACCTAAGCTTTTACAGTAACTTAATCGATACAGAACTAAAACCTTTGTAGCTATTTAAAGGGATTTAGTTACCAAGGTGCTTATGTTCACCATAAGGCCCTGTCAGCCAGAGGGACACATGCTTCTAGGTCTGACCCACTTACTCATGCAACAAATTTATATTCCCCACCCTCCCTCCACCCGCCAGTAAAACAAAACAGAACTATTTACAATTGAGAGGAAATACGCTCTCAGTCAACTGACCTTGCAAAAAAGACTGGCTCAATTCCAAGTGGAGGAAACATTGAAGAGTGTTCGACCAGAGTCCCAGCAGGGTCAGGGCCTGGCAGGGACTGGGCAGGAGGGCCAGGGGTGCCAGAGAGGGGGCCTGTCCTGGGCTTCCACTGCCCACTCCAGGCCCTGAGGAAGCCAGGCTCCAAGTGACAGCGCACGTCCAGGGCCCTCCTGCACCCCCACCCACCAGCCCCTACCTTTACATCGCTACTCTGCACGCTAGGGTTGTGTGTTCGCTTAATACAACATGATCTATGGGACACCCCACTTCCCCACCCACCCCTGCACGCCCCCGTGCTGGCCACACCTGGCTCCTGGGACCCCGCCTGTGGCAGTGGGGGTGCTGGGCCGGCAGTACCAGCAGCCAGCCGAGTTGCAGAGCTGCGCCTGGCTGCCGCATTTGCTAAACGAGATTTGGTTCCACTTTAAAAGTCAAAGCTGACCAAACAATCACCAAGTGAGGATCAAGCTTTCACTCTAGAAACCTTTCTGCAAAACAACAAAATCTTAGAATTAGGCTGTGCACAACTAACGAGAGGCAGGCCAAGGTCCCTCCAAGGGGTTACCCGGCAACACTCCCCCAAACAAGTGGTTCTGATTCGACCACGTCCAAGTTCAGTTCAGTCCAAAACAAGCAGTAGCGTGGAAATCTTCCAAACTCAGTGAACAAAGTGACCCACGTCTCCCCCAGTAAGCGCAGCGTTTTCCGACGTCCTCATCGACACAGCCCGCTGTCCGTGCTGCTCCAGCAAGCGCCTGCAAGGAGGAGCCCCGACACCCAGTGACCACAGCAGCACGTCGGGCAGCGCCAGCCCCAGCCAGGCACCGCGGCCTCCGGTGGACAGGAGCGGCCAGGGATCCCCAGACTTCCCCATCACAACCCGATCGTTCCTGTTCACATGGGGAACAGGGAGGCAGCTCCAGGTCCCACCCATAAGGGGCACCCAAGTCACCACTGACGTAGTTAAAAAAGCAGACTCTGGAATCAGTGCGGGGCCAGGCCAGGGCTGAGACCCCGCTGGCCACACTCTCCCTGCTGACCACACTCGGGGAGGAAGCACCAGCCCCCTGCACCCGGACCCTCACTTTGACAACCCTGAGGCCTGGGTCCCACCGTCCCCCTTGGGTGATTCAGAGGGTCAAGACCCTCAGCTCGGCCTCTCGATACCTTGAGGTCTTCATTTGGAAGATGGCTCCGAAGCTCTTCTTGAAGAGGCTTCCCCCCAAGGACCCCCGCCCCGGCACCCTCCCACTGAGGGACCCGGAAGCTCCCCTACTCACCCGCAGCCGCATCCTTACACCCTGCCCGTCCCAGCTCTGTGGGAAGTGGGGTTGCGACGGGTTGTACCGTTGCCCCTGCCCCCTCGAAATCCGCCCCGGAAACTCCGGCCACGAAGAAACCTCCCCGACACCCCGAAGGTCTCCGTGTTGAGCTTCCTCTCCTCGGCCCACGTGGTCCGCCTGGAACTGAACCAGACAAGGGGTGTGAAACTGCAGCAGGCACCCCTCCCTGCTCTGAGCCGGGCCCCAGCCTCGTACCGCCTGGGGAGGAAGAAAGGACAGATGGGCGGATGGTTACTTGGGTTACAAGGGGCAGGCAGTCCAGTCAGGGTCCTGGAGCCTGAGACCCAATACTGCAGGTGCTCCCAGCCAAACCTCCAACCAGGCCTCCTTCTCATGGACGGGCCCTCACACCTGTGTCACCTAAGGCCAGCACGTGACAGTGCACTACAAAGGAATCCCTCGTTGCTTGTGAGGCTCCAGACCTGGAGCAGACCATGGACCCTCCAGATTAGTTTCCACGAGATGGGGAGGGCGCTGGGCTAGAGGGGGCAGGGCCTGGAACACAAAGCTTATGCTTCGGGGGAGGTGGGGACGCAGTGCCAGCGCTGTGCTCTGCCCTGGCATCCTTCCTGCGTCTCCTGCAAGGACCCCCAGTGTCCGACTGGGTGCCTACAGCAGCCACCGGGGTGTTTACAGGCAGCTCACAGGCAACAAGCCAGCCCCAGCTCCTGCTCTGCCGCCCCACTGGCCTCCTTGCTCAAAGTGGCTAACTGCGCCCTTCGGCTGTCCAGGGCAACAGCCTGGAGCGGCCCAGTCTGCGGCCCACCTTCAGCATGCTTCACGTTCACTAGTCCAGCTTCTCTCCTCTTCCTCCACCCGATTACAAAAGCATGCAAAGTGGCCACCAGCTTCCACACGTCCCACCCTCACCCCACTCTCCACAAAGGAGCGGTGAAACCTCAGAAGACACTGCTCTCCCCACAGCGCTCAGAATAAACGCCAGGCATGACCGTGACCTACAAAGCCCATCCCCCTTTCACCACTCCTCCCCGCCCCACAGCACATGACTCGCGGTCGTGCAGGCCGCCTCCCTGTCCGAGAAAGCTCCCTTCATCTGTCCACACGCTCGTCCTGGGACCTCAGCACCCCCCTCCCCATACACCCACACCCCAGCCCCTCTTCACTACGCTGTTTCCTGGCGGGGGGCGGGAGACCTGCCAGCTTCTTTTCTGCTGCATCCTCAGTGCCCCACAGCGTCTGCCACTCCACGTGCGGAACAAAGAGATACGAGTTGCCACGCCACCCTTTCCAAACGTCATGTACTGTCTGGCTTGTTCTCGGGCAACGTCTGGGTACTATCCACTGGTGCTAAATGCTAGGCGTAGACAGGGTCCCCAGCCTCAAGCAGGTGAAAGAACACCGCAGACTCGCTTGCCCCCTGCCTCGGGCAGGGTGGTACAGAACTGAACAGCAGTGTGGTCACTCAGCTGGGGAGGGCGGTCCAGCCCAGCCTGAACGAGGAAGGGGCAGCTGAGCAACGCATGCAGAGGGTCCTGGACCTGGGTCAGGCCCCTCGGGAGCCCGTGACTCCCAGGGCTTCCCACACCACCACCCACTGTTGGTGTGACTGGGCCTCGCCCGGCCCCTGGGCCCTGACCTGGTCTTCAGTTCAGAGGAGATGTTGTCAAAGAAGGACTTGGACTTGTCATAGTAGCAGTTGGGCCCCAGGTGGTCGTCCTCGGCAGGCGCCGCATCGCTCGGGGCCACCACCGCCAGGTCCTTCTCGCCCCCTTTCTCGGCTTTGTCATCTGCACAGAGAAGCAGACCACTGGGGTGCCAGGAGGCAAACCACGCTACCAGGACAGGACCTCACGGGCCCAGTCAATGGCCGTCCTCAAGCCTCTGTGAAATGCTCCTGGAGGTGTTTCGTGCCAAGCTGAAACCTCTTTTTCTAACTCCAAACCGTGTCTCATCCGCCCCTGGGCCACAGTCTGCTGCCTGTTCCCCAAGCACCATTCTACGTCCCCAGGACTCCTCCCCGCCCTGGGAGCTCCTACCATGGCACGGCTTCCACAGACCACCAGCCCAGCTGCCCACCCCCGGCTGTCTTTCTTTGACCCGCTCTGTGGACACTCCTGGGGCAGGGGCAGATACTCAGACCTTTAAAATTCAGTTTCTTCTTAAATTCTTTGTCCAGCTCCTCTCGGTTGAACTGGGCATTGGCGCTCTCAAAGTCAAAGTCGCCTTCAAACTTGATTGTGTTCTCCTTGATGTTAGCTGGGCGGCTTTGCCCTCTGGAGCGGTTCCTGGTCCGTCTGTTCCCTGTGAGGAGAAGGGACAGCCCCGGCTGTACGCCACCAACCCGACGTTGCTGAGTGTGAGATGCACAGAGGGAGGAGCACACTGAGGCGGCGCAGCGGGCAGAGCGCAGGGCAGGGCTCGCGCCTCCCCACAGCGCAAGCGCAAGCAAGCGGGCAGCTGTTACCTGAGCGCCGCCGCTGCGGTCTTCTGTTCTCGTCATTCACCTGCCCTTGAGTTTGCACAGCGGCCGGCTGCACTACATCTACGGCGCAGAAGGGAAGAGTAAGGCAAGCGGCCCGCAGCGGCAGAGCCCGGGGGCGGGGGCCCGCTGAGCCCGCCGACGGCGCGGGCGGGGGCGCTCATCTTTAAGAAAAGAACCCCCGGCAGCGTGCGCCCCTCTAAACATGGAGCCAGGGCAGGGGAGTAGGCGTTCAAGTACCGCTGGCGGCCTTGCTGCTGGGCGGGGCCGGGCGCCCGTTGAGCTGCATCCCCACGGAGCCCTTGCCAGGTACCAGCTTTTTGGTGTTCAGGTTATCGAGAGAACCAGTCTGGACAGCCTGCTCCACCATGGGGCTCTTACTGACTGAGACAGATGGAAAACCAGCTCCTGAGTTGAGGAGGAGAGGAGGGTTTAAAAACGGAGACACGGGGAAAGCCTCACACCACCCCCAGCTCCCAACACTTCTCTTCCGGCCCAGAGACGTTCCACCAAACCCAGGCACAGCCCCCACGCCGGGCCGACCCCTCCGCGTCGTGCCTGGGCAGTGAAAAGGCCAGCAGGCTCCCCAGGTCAGGGACCCTCAGGAGGGAAAACGCCCCCCCCAACAACAAGCACCTTCCAGTAAATCTGGGAAAAGCTGCCCCCAAACCAACAGGCTCTAACCCCGAGGGGCACGACAGTCCGGAGATGCTGGTGAATTCACGGTCTGAGAACGTGTTTCGTTCTGCGCCATGCTGGACAAGAACCAGGCCTGTCCAGCATCTTGCACAGAACGCAGTGGTCAGCCTTTGCAGTTAAAACTCTAGAACACTGCGGTTTTTGCTTAAGGCACAACAAAACCAAACAGGATGAAGTGATAAGAGCTGACCACAGAGAAACAATGGCCTGCGCTCCTGCGAGTGAAAGCTCATGGTAAAGAAATGAAGGGTTCCCAGGCGGCCCTTGGCAACACAGGGTACTGCATGTTCCCAGGACACCGCATTCCAGCCCTGAGCACAGCCTCGGTGGAGTTCCCCGTCAGGAGATGGTCCCTGACGCCAGAAGAGAAGGACGTGCCACAACCATCAGTCCCTCTCCCCCTCCCCTCCCCCACGTTCCTGGATCTCTGGGTCCTGTTTGAAAGGAGCAATGTGGGGCTGGGTGGAGGTGCACAGACATTACAGACAGAAAGTCTATTACCAGAGGGGCACCCCAGCACAAGTGAGGCCTGGATATTCTACCTCCTATCCCACATGGGACAAATCAGAGAAATTACTGTGAAAAATGCCCTGTAACTAGATCAGAAGAACTCAGAGGGCAGACTCAGCACACTGGTACTTGTAAGTGTCCCCTGTGATGGGCATTAACTAACCGAAACCACTTTCCCTGACCTATCAGCGTGGCCCTCCCCGAGCAAGACATGGCTCCTGACAGATTCTGGCTCACGCTCTAACTGGATGGGGCAGGCATCTTGGGCTCAGTTGCTTTTTATAAAACCAGACCAGTTAAAACTACCTACCTCGTCCTATGAGCTGTTTTACGTAAACTGTCCTAAGAGCAATGAATGACCTTGCGCAATTTTTAAGTGGGGAAAAGAACCTCCCTGCTTCTGTAACTCGGATACCCTGGCATCCAGGCGAGGAAGAACACAGGCAAAGCAAAGACTGACAGTGGTTGTGCGCCAGAATGAAAGCCCCAGGCGTCATCTTGGACCGAGTCTCCGCACTGGTGACTCTAGCGTCCTGCACGTGAACTTCAGACCTCCAGGGAAAGGAGAGGAATGCCAGGAAAGGTCAAGAGACCCCCACAGCTGCAGGTGCCCAGCAGACAGGCGGTCCACCAGTAACACGCTGGTCATCAGGTCCACACTGTTCACCTGGTCAGCGGCTTGGGTGGGGCTAGTCATCCACTTTAAAGGCGCTTCGTTTTACAAAGACACTGGAGACACCCGATTCGGAATGCCCTGGGTGGGGGAGGCAAGTGCCACACGGATCCTGGAGCAGCACGCAAGTTACACAAGAGCTCCCCCCGGCAGTCTTACCCAGCAACCCAGAGTGCGTTTAGGACCAGCGGAAACCCCAGGGAAACGGCTTTCTGTGCAGACGAAGTTTCCCATGTACGGGAGTCCCACTACAGGTCAAAACAGACCCTGGACCCGGGAAGGGTGAGCAAAACGCACTGCTGGCTCTTTCTAGTCCCTTCTTGAAGACTGTGGGAGTCAGTAAGTCAGGATCACGTGCAGGACCAAACAGAAGCAGCCAGATGGACCCACGGCTTGGCAAATCGTCTGCTACAGCTACTGTCACTCTGGGCTACTGGTTTGCCCCCTCGCTCTTAGTATGGCTCGCAAGACAGCATGCAGTTCTCCAAAACTGCTGTTACCCTTGGCAGTGAGCTGGTGTGGCTCTGAGGACATGTCAAGCTCTGAAACGGGCTGAGGAGATGGAGAAGAGCTAGGGCTGGAAGCCGCGGCTGAGGCTGGAGGGCTAACCAACTTCTCTAAAAGAAGATAAAGGAGAAAAGAGCAAAAAAGAAAGTATACACGTAAGTACAGAGAAACTTGCGTGCAGCAAGCCTGGAAGGAGCCCAGACCTCTCTTGCAGGATACTCAGCTCACACAGACCCACTCTAGAAGCAGGAGCCAGCCTGAGGGGCTCCTGCACCCTGGGGACAGCAACCAAGACAACGGGATCTTTAGAAGCAGGAGACCCCCAAGCAAGGTGGCTGAGCCGCACCTCCCTGGTGTGAACACCTCACAGAGCTGCAGCCGGACGGCCCTCACTCCGCACCCACAGGAGAGAACCTTACCCCAGGGTTATTCGGCCTTGGCAGAACCTTTACTTTTTGAGCAAGGCGCTGACAGGAGAATGGGAAACGGACAGCACGGGAGGGTGCTGTGTTTACCTGTTACATTTACGGGCTTACGAACGTGCAGGCGGTTAGAACTCGTCTGTAATCACACCTATCAGCTATTTCCTCTCTGAAGCAGAGGCACCACAACGTCCACCCAGACCCAGGCTGACACTTCAAATGAATTTTGATTCGATTCATCTGTTCCAAAACTCAGAGCGCTGCCTCTTTTACTCTCAATTGAGTACTTACTAAGTGTTCTAACTAGCTAGGGTTGCACTGAGTGACATACTGAGTACGCACGAAAAGATGAACAGGACAAGAGCAGTGTCCCCACTGTCAAGGTCTGTGGCCCCACTTCCTGGAGATCACAACACAGGCAGTTTACCAGAAGGAAACAGGTTACTCACCTAAACCCAAGGAAGCGGCATACTGCTGGCTAAGCAGGGAGCTGGCGGCCAGCTGGCTGTAGGGTGGCATCCCTCTGAAGGGGCTGTAAGGCACGTGTGGCTGGAAGGAGGAGGCCGAGCCCGAGCCCAGGGAAGACTGAGCAATGAGACACACAGGTGAGAGCACCATTCAGACAGGGACAGGCAGCCCGGGTTGTCAGCCTGTGCCCCGGAGGCCGGGGTGGCCCTCGGGGGCGTGAGCTCTGGGATGGCCTAAGGGAGCGCAGAGTGGCCTTTTCCCTGTTTCTTCCCAGCTCCACCTGCATCCAGGTGATTCCAACACGATCTTTTCATGACTCAACTAATCCCTCTGATGGCTCCCCACTGCCTGTCATCAGGTCTAGGCTGTGAGCGACGGACACGGCCCCGCCCCCAGCACGCAGGGGCACAGCTATTCCCATGCACCTTCTCTCTGGGCCCTGCCTTCAAGCACACTGCCGCCTGGGCTCCCAAAAGGCCCCTTTGTCCCTTGAGGCCTGGCTCAGTTCCTAGGGAGCCTTCCCCCAAACCCGTGGAGGTCTCGCCTGGGGCCCAGCACGTGCGAGCCTGCCTCCCAGGGAGCGTGCTCAGTCTTGGAGCCTCCCGCAGTGTGAGCCCCGGAGCAGCCAGTCACCACGGGAGTTTACAAGTAAGGAAAATACTAACGGGGCCCCTAGTGATCCTGGGCAAGATGTGCCGAAACACAGCAGGCGGACCCGCAGCGTGAGGCCCGCACGTCGGGTGCTCCACATCACTGCTGTGCACGTCTGCACCCGGGGTGGGGAGAGCATCTCTGCCACTCACAGCACACCACTGGGGCTTCACACTCACCCCAGCAGAAACCAAGGACAAACAGCACCCCACAAGTACCCCAGATGAAGGCAAAACTAAAAGCACTCCCTCTCCACCCCCCCACACACACTCGTATAGTCTCACCCCATGGCACACCCTACTGCAGGCTGCAGGAGCCAGACCTTCCACAGAAACACCAACAGCCTAGACAAAAATTAAAGCACTTTTCATTAAAAGGCTATTCCTCGAGTTGAGCACTCTGGCCAAACAAACGACACCAAGTTCCATTTGGAAACCAGCATCCCTTAGAAACAGTGCCACAACAGAAGCGGAGCGATGCACTTACTTGGACGATGGCAGGATCCTGAGGGAGCGCGTGCTGAGCTTTCGGAGGCTCACAAACGGTAATATCTTTGATATCACTTCCCCGGAAAATGATGTACTCATAAATTTCCTCTCTTGGGGGGGCAGGCCTATCTGTGGGACGGTCTTCAGTACCAAAGGACCTCACTTAGGGGTTGAGAAAAAGAAGGGTTAAGTTGTCATCCTCAACCATGTGCATTCCATCAGCCCCCTGGAAGCACAGCCCCTCTAGGAGCCGGCCACAGCACCCAGCTTCCACGTTTCAGCACCCACTCCGCCCCCTGATTATCAATGGACAATACCTGCAGGACCCCAGTTCCCAATGCTCCAAAAAGTTCTAAGCGACAAAGACAACAAAGAACAACTTCAGAGCCTGACAGTCTCGTGAAGCTCGACATTCTCTCAGCAAGACGCCTATTTTGCAGAATCCCGTTCACATCAGGCTTAGCAGCTTCAACAGCCCCAAAGCTGCTTTTCGACTGAAACTTCCCAACACATCATCTCTGTAGGGGGGCTGTTTTCTTGGGAGAAAAGCTGGCAGGTTGAGTGTCATCCCCACTCCTCTGCCCACAACCAGCCTGGGAGTACAGAGACGATGGGAGAAGGGGGCCCAGGAAGGGGCCCCACATCACAAGCGTCTGTATCTACACGAGGGATTGCCGAAGGCAACCCCTCCTGGCAGAGTTTGAGGAGCCCAACCAGGTGTCTCCTCAAGTCTCTGGGGCAGAGCCAGGCTTGAGTCAGCCTCTATCTAACCTGAGAGAAACTTCCTCTGAGGACCAGGGACTACCCTGAGCCTCAGTTTCTCCAACCGGGACTTCATGCCAAATATCATCAAGAACCAAGAGTGCAAGTGACCACACAGCCCATCAGACGGCTCAGAAGCTGGACTTCAAAAGGGCTTGCCCGAAGTTTGGAATTGGCTGCGACCCGAAGGCCTGAGGCTCCTTCCGATACAGGAGCATGTAAGCCATGCCCTGACCCTTAGAGGCTTAGCACGGTGTCTCTAGCCTAACAAGACCCATCAAACAAACAGGGCTCCTGCAGACCTGGCTGCACTCGGCACTTCTAAGAGGCAGGGGAAGGACACTAGCCATCTTTCCTGGAGTATGAAGACAAAGAAACTTTGGGGCCACTTCCTGCTTCGACACGTTCAAAGACTCAACTCTCGCAGAGCCACAATACAGTCATGTTTCTCTAAGTCTCCCAGGGGCTTCAGTGTGGTCACCAGCGCCTGCAGGGAGGGGTCTGTCACAAAAGGGTAAACGCACAGCCCGAAAGTCTGGATTAGGGTAAGAAAGCGCTTTGAATGGGAGTACCTAGCTGCCAACCGATGCTCCTATCCCGGCAGCAGAATCCATTAAGACGCGGTATTTGTTCAGGATCAAGGCCCCAGCTGCTTAATAGGTTCCAGAAGGACTTGCAGGAGTCGTGTTTTCTCACCCCCAGCCTCCCGGGGAGGCCCCGGGGACACCCGGGCCCCCTCGCCCCCGCCCCTCCCCCGAAGGCACAGGGTTCTCCGCGCCAGCTGCCCCGCCGCCCTCGGGCAGGTGGGG